GTTAGGGTTGGGTATGACCTGTCCTTTCATGTCCGTTTCCTAACCCCGAGCAGCTGCCCTAACCCGGCCGACCGGACGGTTTCCATGGAGGGAAACGGGCGTGGCTCCTCCCACTTCTTCTCCTTCAACACCTTCCAGTTCTCCGGGGGAAACAGCGGCAGCGTTTTCCTGCACTGCAAAGTCAAGCTGTGCGTCTCTCAGGGGGACCAGTGCGTTCAGGTAACCCTAACCCTAACCCTAACCCTGAGCCTGACCCTAACCCTGACCCTAACCCTGACTCTAACCCCGACCCTAACCCTGCACTGCACTGCAAAGTCAAGCTGTGCGTCTCTCAGGGGGACCAGTGCGTTCAGGTAACCCTAGCCCTAACCCTAACCCTAACCCTAACCCTGACCTTAACCCTGACTCTAACCCTAACTCTAACCCTGACCCTAACCCTGAGCCTGACCCTAACCCTGCACTGCAAAGTCAAGCTGTGCGTCACTCAGGGGGACCAGTGCGTTCAGGTAACCCTAACCCTAACCCTAACCCTGAGCCTGACCCTAACCCTGACTCTAGCCCTGACCCTAACCCAACCCTAACCATAACCAACCCTGACCCTAACCCTGAGCCTGACCCTAACCCTAACCCTGACCCTAACTCTAACCCTTACCCTAACTATAACCCTAACCCTGACCCTAACCCTGACCCTCACCATGACCCTGACCCTAACCATAAACCTGACCCTAACCCCAACCCTAACCATAACCACGACCCTGACCCTAACCCTAAACCTGACCCTAACTCTAACCCTGACTCTAACCCTAACCCTGACCCTAACTCTAACCCTGACCCTAACCCTGACACTGACCCTGACCCTAACCATGACCCTGACCCTAACCCTAAACCTGACCCTAACCATAACCAACCCTAACCCTGACTCTAACCCTGACCCTAACCCTAACCAACCCTGACCCTGACTTTAACCCTGACCCTAAACCTGACCCTAACCCTAACCCTGACCTTAAACCCTAACCTAACCCAACCCTAACCCTGACCCTAAACCTGACCCTAACCCAACCCTAACCCTAAGGGTAAGTCAGTCTTTTCTGTTTTCAGAGGTGTGATCAGGGCCACAGGGAGCGCAGATCTGCCATGCCAGAACACAGAGACATCCACTCTGCCTTCATCACCATGGCCTGGACTTACTAGGTAAAGTCCAAACAGGTTTGAAACTCTATCTAAAAATTGAGATGTGTAAATATCTACGTAAAGGGAGGATTAGATGGGTCACTTCAGGTGTTTGAGGTATTTGTCCCATTTGAGAGGCCATGGATCATCTTAACTAGGTAACAGGTGCAAACTACAACACAAGAATAAAAGGTCACAGGTCAAACGTTTAGCGTGTTACACATGTTTAAGATGGGACGCGCTGGTGTAATTCAATGCAATGGAAACTCAAATCGACCATCGAAAGGCCGGCAGAAAAAGCTGGATGCATGCTGGAGGACTTCGGAACTGCATATTAGTGTAGATTTTCAGTCATCCAGGCCAAAAGAAACCTTAAACCTCGAATAAAGACAATGTCCAGAGAGAGAGAGAGAGACCAGAGACCTTTTAGACCAACGTCAAGCATCCTGTAGGTCCTTATTAAACCGCTAACATGGCCTCTTTAAACACAAAACAAACTGGTCTCCATACATTCCAATGGGCACCAAAGCAGAATATTACAAAAATGGTGGTTATTTACATCAGGAAACATTTTCCCTCTGTTTTCTGACATAGGGTTTTTTTCTTAGGTTTCCATGGAGACTCGGACCGAAGAAAATCCAAGGTTTTGTCCCAAAGAGGAGCCAGTCTTTAGTGATGCACAGATTCAGGAAAGCTACATCAAGCTAAAGGGGAAAGGTTGCTGTTGCTTTTGGGAAATTATAATAAATCAGCTGTCATTGTTGGGGCAAAGAAACATATTAATTAGGGTAATTTTTTTCTTCAATGAGCATTTTTCTTGAATAGTTCAGAAGTAGGTTAAGGTCTTTTTCTTAAAGAGTCTGGGGTTGCTCATCATTCCTATTGTGTTGGGGTCGGCACCATCCTGTTAGAATTTTCATATAGAAAAGGAATTCTGCTTACCTTTGGTTTGAAGGCCTTCAATTGTCTGAAAAGAGTCTCCTCTGATGGACTCCGGCGGTCCCCAATCGGACACAGTCTCAGAGTCAACCAATCCGGGTCACGGCACCATTTGTTAGAGTCGGTTCTTTAGTTGGAAGCCTGAGAATAAACCAGAGTAGATCAAGAGTACAAATATGGAATTTATTGGTCACAAGCAAAGTATATCAGCGTTGGGCTCTCACAGGCAAAGCTCCCGGAAGATCTCAGTCGGCAAGAACCTCGATTTCCGGGTGCGATGGGCAGTTATCCTCTGGGCCGGGCCTCGAAAAGGGGAGAACGGCTGGGCGTAACAGAGTGTTATTGGCCAGTTAGCTCTGACATCAACAGGCCAGAGGCTTTTAATTCATGCAGGTTTCAGTGGAATGTGATAAGAAAATGTGTGTGTGTGTGTGTTGACCTTGAAAACGAGTATCTATTGTACAGAGAGAGGAGGAGGAGGCACAGCCAGAGAGTTTAACCCAAAAGTAGAATTATAAATGGAATAATATGAATATAAAAGGAATAATACAATCAGTCATTTACATGGATTAAGCTATAGCATATTATGCTAACGTAAGTAATTAGAGCCCAATTCTAACAATCCCATTTTGTAGGTTTACCACCAGAGGAACAGGATGGGTTTACACTTGACAAAGGTTAGGGTCTTTTTTTCTAAGAGTCTGGGGTTGCTGACAAGGTCTGTCTATCTTATGATTGTAATCAGTGTAATCTATATGTTACCAATAAAGGGAATCAATTAATTCAATCATCTGTTCTTCTTATTTTTAAATGCAAACTGAATTTATAAAAATGTGGATGCTTTGTAAAATGGGACTCTGCTTCTGGTCCGTGAGCCTCATGTGTGCACTGAGATGCCTGGAAGGTGAATCAGTCCACATCAAAACTGGGAAACCTTTTTCTTAACATAATGTTTCACATAAACAAAACAGAAAAAAAGGGAAAATCAAAAGTTGAACAAAAAAAAAAGTATGGATCATAACAGAAGGAAGGCCCAATATTTCTGGTAAGTGCATGAACCAGCCATAATTAGACTAGAAAAAACACTTACCAGGCTCCAATCAAAGGGTTCTAGATTCAAAAAGCTTTATTCATCCTGAAAGAAATTGCTGTACAACACTTGCAATACAATGTGAAAGCTCCAGGCGTCTTCGGGCCGCTGTCCTGCAGGTTTGAGAGGGTTCCCTGCTTCTACACCACTGACTCACATCAACACAATGTCAAGTCATTGACCTGTGCATCAAATTTAAAGGCGCTGTCGAGGGTTACACCAAGGTTTCTGACAGTAGGCCTAATGTTGGGACTGAGCCGAACGAACCAAATGAAC